CTCCCAGTATCCCCGGGTTCCATAGTCCCACCCACAAATGAGGATTCCAGGAAGTAATGTCAGGGGTTGCTTCTGGTGATGTGGCAAAGTGTTTCTGTTTGGGATCCAGTTCGTTTGGCGTGTACCTTGATGTGGGCTGTAAAACTCAGCCCAGCGGAACTGATAAGGCAGAGAAAGCTCTTCAATCGGCAGCAGGAGCTCGGACTGAAAAATAACCCCCTTGCTTAATGTTTTTACTTGAGTTCAGGCCCTGGGACTGCAGTTTTGCCCCTGCAGAAAACTTGCCTGCCACTGCTCAGCTCTTCATGTTCAAGAGACAGGGAAACTCAGTGCCTTATTCCTAGTGAGACCAAGGTTTGGGTTTGGGGCTTTGGCACAGTCTGAAGCCACTGATTGTGCAGTCCTGAACTCCCTTGTTCACTGTCTAGTTACTGAGCATTTAAAATCCAGAGCTGCATTTCTCTGTGGATTTCTGTATTTCCCTCCCAGGATGGACTGGATCCTGTCTTGCCTGTGTAAAACACCCTGTCCTTTGCTGTCTTGGACAGTTACTTTAGGAAATTTAATTCAGTTTTGCATAGATGTCCTCTCTGTAAGAATACTTCATTCAAAACACGTGGTTCAAACAGCGCAAGCCAAAAGAATGTTGTATGTAAATGCTGGTTCAGAGGATGTGCTTTAAAACTTTCTGAGCTTGGATTTTGGGTCTCAGTGTTCCCTGTGTCCCATGTTTTGTTTCCACAGCCACCATGTCAGAAGGGGACAGCATTGGGGAGTCTGTGCATGGAAAGCCCTCCGTGGTCTATAGATTTTTCTCAAGACTTGGACAGGTTGGTTTGGTGAAGGATTTTTCTGCCTGCTTTAGGAGTGGATCTCACTGTGGCTCCTTAAGCTCATTACTTTTTGGATGGGTTGTTGAAGTGCTAAAATCTGCACAAGAGACTTCTTCTGGAGCCTTTAAAAACTGATAGATATTATTACATGGAGCTTACTGGAATGTTCAAGGGGTCTATGTGTGACACTGCGCAGTGAAAATATAAGTTGTCAAAAACAAGGAGTGACTTCTCATTTCAGGTCAAATTCATCTTAAGGAAAGTAACTTGCACGACATACAGAGATATTCAATTGCTTTACAATGCCCCAAGCATTAGGGATTTCACTAAAACATGGAACTTTACAAATGCTTGTAAGCACAGTTATGTGTGACTCAGTTTATTAATGAAGAATACAGATACTTCATGTTACTCTCCTTGCCAAAGGCTTCCCTTGGCCAGTGCTGCCCTGTGATGAACTGTGTTCATTGTGCCTCCTGTATTTCACGTGTCCCTTTGTTTCCTGCCAGATCTACCAGTCCTGGTTAGACAAATCCACCCCCTACACTGCCGTGCGATGGATTGTAACGCTGGGGCTGAGCTTTATCTACATGATTAGAGTTTATTTACTGCAGGTGAGCACTGCACTTACTGCTAAAGGATTTGTACAGGTCACTCCTGGCTTGTGTTTCATGTTAAGAGCATTTTTGAAGTGTGGTGTTACTTTAGAATCACGTGTGGTGTCGTTCAGCTCATGGTAGAAGGTAAACTGGATAATCTGCACAGAGAACAGCTCTTGTGTACATGGGGGATTTGCACTCCTGTTGTGTTCTAAGACTTGTTTTGATCAGTGAGAATTCTTAATATTTTTATTTAATATTTAATATTGTTGATATTGTCAGAATTGTTCATATTTTTGTTTTTATATTGCTAATATTCTAGTCCAGAAACCTTTCAGTTAATGTGACGGTGTAGAAAAGCTTCTCAAGGAAGCAAAAAACCAGGTTGTTTAGTCTTGTTAAAAAATCAGCACCAGTAAATGTCTTTCAGGAAGGTTTAAGTGGGGCTGTTCTCCCTCCCTGTGCAGGGTTGGTACATTGTGACATATGCCTTGGGAATCTACCACCTAAACCTCTTCATAGCTTTCCTGTCGCCAAAGGTAGACCCCTCTCTAATGGAAGACTCAGGTATGCTGAAAAGTTCATTTTGCCATAATTTAGAACTTGCCAAACTTCCAGACCCCTTGGGCTGCTGAAGATGGGCCGTTTCAGCAGGATGTTGTAATTTTTAGACTTGAAAAAAATCTGTGCAACTTCACAGCAAGAATGACGTTTAACTGTAACTGGGGTCTGCGTGTAACAGTGGAAATTGGGTGTGGATTCATTTTGTGATTTTTTTTTTAGGGATTTTTAAGATAAAAAGTAAAAAAACCCAGGGGTCTGAGCAGTGTGGAAAAGTACTGTGAGGGGGTTTGTGGTTTGGTTTCTCTCCTGTTGTTTTCAGATGATGGTCCTTCCTTACCTACAAGGCAAAACGAAGAATTTCGGCCTTTCATTAGAAGGCTCCCAGAATTCAAATTCTGGTGAGTGGATCCGTCTGCCCACGCTCTGGTTCTGCAAACCGTAAATGTGTGCACCTAGCGAGTGCTAGCTGGGCCTGGGGGATTAATTTGCTGTTGTTTGCCAGGCACTCTGCCACCAAAGGAATCCTGGTTGCCATGGCCTGTACGTTCTTCGAGGCTTTCAACGTGCCGGTGTTCTGGCCCATCCTGGTGATGTACTTCATTATGCTGTTCTGCATCACCATGAAGAGGCAAATCAAGGTAAATCCCCGGGAGCAGAGAGCAGCGTCTGCCAGGTCAGGATGTGCAGCTTTGCTCCACGCTGGGCCATTCAGGTGGGGGACGTGCTGCACACACTTCTTGTGCTGCAGGGACTCCACCAGCCAGCACCTGAACATCAGTTGTTTCAACACTGAGCAACTTCTCTTCTTGCTTTCAAAAGGTTTTGATTTTAGAGTGCAAGGGCAGGTTTTGATGCAGCCACTTCCTGTCCTAACTGTGGCTATTTTTGATGAAGAGGTGTGGTACAATCACTGATGGGTGAAAAGGGAAGTTCTGATGAGCTGGTGCAAGAAAGTAGATGAGGGAAAGAGGAAGCAGAACACAGACAACTCACCCTGACCATTTTAACAAGTTTGGTTTGTTGGCATTTTAAAAAGCTGTTTTTTTCCCCAGACTTTCAGAATTTTGGAAAGGAAGTGTGATTTGAGTGGGAAATTTAAGATTAAAGGGTAGTAAAGCATTAGTTTCTCTGTGCTCTCTCCAGTTTCCTGTGGTCCCTCAGTGACCTTCGCTGTACTGTATGAGTTGTTGGTTAGACCCAAATTTGAGATTTGTGAGACTGATCTCATAGACCAATTCAGATTTAAACTGGTGTAGGATTAGCTGTTTCACTCCCTTTACTAAGAACTGCCTTTCTTGGGGACTCGGTAATCTCCAGGGTGCATTATAAAACATTTTGTCTAAATGTTACCCAAGTTTCTTGCCTCAACATGTGATGTTTTCTCTTTGCAGCACATGATAAAGTACAGATATATACCCTTCACACATGGCAAGAGGAAATACAAAGGGAAGGAGGATGTGGGGAAGACCTTTGCCAGCTAGAAGCAGCAACACCCTGTTGACCAGTTCTACTGCTCACTAAAGGAACGATTTTGAGCCATTGTAACAATGCCTTTTTTCTTCATAAAGTGATTAACAGAGTGGTGACAAAGCAGTTGAATTTTCATTTTACAAGGATCTTGCTATTTTTATCTGAAATATCAGATCAGTTTCTTGAGGAAACTGGCATTCTAACCAAATTGCATTGAGTTCATTCTCTTTTGTAAGAAGTTGGAGAAACTTTGGATAATCCCATGGATTTGGGATAACGTGTTCCTTTCAAGATCCATTGCACTGGAGAGGTTAATGGCCTAGAGCTGGATGTTTTTACATAGTTCTCCTGCTCAACATCACCCTGAAGTGCTGTGCACATCTGTGGAGGAAAGTGTAAGCTGGCACACGTGATGCTGTTTTCTGCTTCGTGGCCGTGTGCTGTTCTCATAGAAACCTTCAGTAGACCTAAATAGCTGCAGAACTTAAGCCAGTTTCCTAAATGCATGGTATTACTGAGTTATAACCCCATAGGTAGGAGTAAGAAATCTACTAAATTATGGGTTTGCAGTAGGGGGAAAAAAATACTCATTTAGCTTCTAAAGCAACTCGTTTGTGTTGGGTTTCAATGCCAGTTTCACTGTTCCATCTCCGAGCAGATGCTAAAATTGGGCTCTTTTGTGATGACTCAGAACTTTGTTCAAACTCTATCACAATTTCCTTTGAGGACCTGGAACTATAAAAATATATATTTTAATTGTTCTTAGTTGGAGTTTCTTTCATACTCGATGGTTTCATGAATAATTTCAGCTGACTTCATGCAGCCCCACAGAAAGTACCCAAACCGGCCAGAGCAGACAGTGGTGGGGGTTTTAACACAGATTTTCATTTTCTATGGGGGGAAAGGGAAATAAGAGATAAATGACCTGCATGTAAACTTTTTCATGTGATACAACTGCAGTTTTATTAAGTGACTTTTTAATTCCAAAATTTATTAAAAGACAGTGTTCCCCTTTACTTGCTCTCTATCTTTAATGTACATCTGATGATCTAACAGCATTTATGGCTCCTTTTCAGTAATGGTTACCCTCAACTTACCTCCATGCAATGCCTTTTCCAACTCTTCAGGGACCATTCACTTGCAGAAGGTAGGAAAAGATCAGCTTTTTGAAGATTCTGAATGGAGAACAGTGGCAGCTTCAACAGGCACCTAACTGGGAAATAGATGTAGGAACCTTTTCCTCTGATTTTGTCCAATGAAGTCTCTGTGGAGCTCTGGAATTCAGCAGTCCTGGGAACATGACAGGTAGCTTTAGCTCACATTGACCCGTTGCTTTCTGTTTGTTTGCATGTGTTTGTTTTCTTAGCAGTGTGGAAACCAGGAATGTAAACACTTAAAATTGTGCAAACAGGCTCCAGAACAGGCCTTACAAAAGTACCAGTGGTGGATGTGGTTTGTCGCCTGAGAACGTGACAGCCCTGGCTTGGAGAAGCTGTTCTCAGGCTTGCTGGAGTTTCTGAATAATATGGACAAATCAGGGAGAAAAACAGGAGGTTTATTAGTAGTAAAATTCCCAACTGGGATGCCCTCTACTGAAGAGCTGAGTGTTACCAGCACTTAGAAACACATTTTTAATATGGTCAGGAACCGTGTCCAGGGAGACAGAAGCGTAGAGGCAGGGAGGGCTTTATTTGCAACCCAGGAACGAAGTGCCCCCTTGCACGGGCATTTCCAGGTCCTTGAAGCCTTTCCTTGGCCCAGTGGGGCTGTGTGACAAGGACAGAGTGGGAGCTGAGCTCTGTCAGGGCCCAGAGCGGGTTTGTCCCTTACAGCTGATAGTGCCGTAGGTAGATCAGCTTCTGGGGATGGAACTTCTCTCTGCACAGGGGGCACTCTGCCTGTGGGAGAGAGATCACACACAGGACACAATGAATACTTTTACTGAAAAAGGTTTAAAACCATCCAAATATGACTTCAGCTACTTCTAGAAAATAATCAGCATCCAAAATTCACAAGCCATTTTTTCAGTCCCGTTTGTGGTACAAGCTTTAGCCACATAAAGCACTCTGAGCTGGCCCAGTTTAAGCTGCTTAGCTTATTTATATATTATTGAAATGTATTTATAAATATATTTTATACATTTATATTGTCCCTATTTATCAATATTCATATGTAACATTCCCAGTGCAATGTCAGTTGTCCTGTTTCAGTAAATGTGTCCTGGTAACTCTGGGTGCCTGAGTGAGGGAAGGGGTGTGAGCAGCCAGGCTGAGGGGTGTTTCAGGTGGAGATGGCAGCAGTTTGTGCCTGTCCCTCACTCACCCTGGTGTTGCACCAGGCAGTGATGCACTCCCAGCAGAAGAGGTGCCCGCAGGGGGTGGCTGTGCTGTGCCTCCGCTCCTCCAGACACAGAGTGCAGCGGGACTGGCGCCCGGGAGCCTTGTCCTTGCTCGTGTTCCTAATTAACAGAGTCACAGATTAACGATGCAGCCTGCTTGTAATACTTGGTAACACCATCCTAAAGTAACCACCATCCTCAGGTACTAACCCTTGCTCGAACCCACCAAAGCATGAAATCCAAGAGATGCTTAAAACAGCGAGAAATCAATTTTGCTAATTAATTAAACATACCATCAAGCTCTAACTTAAATCAGTGTTACTCCGTGTTCCCCCTGCCCACGACAGCTCTGCCATGCCCACCACTGCTCCCCTCTCTTGCCTAGTAAGTAAAAACCACCTCTCACTTCTGGTGAGCGAGGTTGCGGTGCAGCCTCCACTCCTGCCTCGCCCTCTGCTTCTGTTTGAAGCTGTACACCTGAACCCCAATGGTCAGCAGAAGGTGGAAGAGGGAAATCACTCCAAGAAACTTGTAACTTGACCGGACACTCTGATCTTCTCCCTGCAGTCCTCCAAAATGCAGCTGTGGAATGCACAGAAATACAGATGTGGGTTTATGAAACTATTCCCCCCCCCTTCAATAAACTTGATTTGGGATTCTCATTTCTGTCCAAACAAGTGACATGTTTGTAGGGCTTCTCAAGCTGCTGTGTCTGAGGAGGTCTCAGCACCTTCAGTCAGGCTGGACTAAGCTCCTGTCTTATGCAGCATCAGTTGTCTGTCTGTCCATCAGAACTGCAGCTTTCATTGTTTTGATTTTCTTATGTCTGAGCAAACAGACACCTCTTTTCCACACCAACACTGGGAATTGTCGAGGGGTCTTGTGTCTACACACATTTCTGGGTCAGTGGCTGATGGGCTTTTTTTGCAAGGACACAAAATTAATCTCTTCATATAGAAAACTGCTCTGTAAAGGTTTTTGTTCAGAACTACATTTCAGTATTGGATTTATTCAGTCCCTTCTCACTGTTGGTGTGTTTGTGGCAGACACACTGAAGTTACGCAGGGTCAGAAGTTACAGCTTCTGACATTCACATTTATTCCCCGTAACCTCTGGACTGCAGGGATTCCCCACCCCTCTGGAGGGTGCAGAAAACTCTCCTGACGTTACAGTCACCCAGAGCCAAATCCTCATCCCTGTCACACCCGGCAGCCCAGAAGAGGCCGAAGCAGCAGGCAAGGAACACGTCACTCACATAGGAGATGCCCGCCACCCTTTTCGAGAGGTGGTAGAAGGTGCCGTGGATGTAGAAGAGCGCCAGGTGCAGCCGGTGCAGCAGGGGGATGCACTGTTTCAGCACATACACCACCTGGCAGGCCGTTCTCCTCTGCCGCTCCGGGAGCTGCCCCAGCTGCCTGCGGATCCAGCGGCGCGGGAAGGTCCTGCCGGGCAGTGCCGGTGCTGCGCCGCTCCCGGGGCTCTGGGACTCCTCAGCCTCCTCCTGCAGCTCGTGCTCCAGGTGCAGCAGGGCCTTCTCCAGGCAGTAGGGCACCACGGTGTGCAGGGAGATGAAGGCGGCCCGGCGGAGGAGAGAAGGCACCTTCTTCTTGGTGGGGTCGACCTGGATGATGTTCACGTACTCCTCGCCCAGAGTCTGATACCCTGCACAGCGTGGGAATGAGAAAACAGGGTGAGGGGACAACTGCAGGACCTTCTGTGGGGACAGGCTGCTCAGCTCACAGCTCAGCGGGCTTTGCGCTCTGAGAAACAGTTGCGTTTTCTCGTGATGAACAAATGTTTTGGCTACATCAGCATCTGCAGCATCGGCATCAGCACCGGCTGGAGGATTAAAGCAGGGTACCTGTCATGCCAGACATCCCTTTCGTAAAGAGAACGTATCTCTGTGCTGACAAAGTGCTGTATTTGAAGCCAAACTCGGACAGTTTAGTGGTTCCACGTTTGACAAAAGGTGTTTAAACAAACTCCCTCGTTAAAGAGAACCGTGTGGCAGCCTCGGCAGGTGATCCCCGGCACACCCGCCGTCACACGCTGGGAGAAACGGCAGAAAAATGATGAAAAGCGGTAGCAGAGGTTACCTGAGAGCGTGGTGAGCACGAAATAGGCCACATCGGAGAGCAGCTCCACCTCCCGCCGCCACTGCAGCCACGGCCGGGCACCTGCGGGACGGGGCCGCTGTCACCGCACCCGCGCCGCACCGGCCCCCGCGCCCCCTCCGCCCCCCGCGCATTACCCGCCAGCCCCCGCAGCGCGGTGCCCGCCCCGCTGCGCAGCCCGGCCCGGTACAGCTCGTCCTTCTGCCCGCCCTGCACCAGCCGCGCCGGGCCCGCCGCCGCCATCGCCCCGCGCGCACGGACACGGCGCCGACCGGGCCGCAGCACCCCCGGCACGGGCGGAGGCGCCGCGCGGCGCGCAGGGATACCGCGTCACCGCGGAGCCGTGAGGGGGCGGGAAAGGGGGCGGGAAAAGGGGCGGAAAAGGGGCGGGGAAAGGGGCGGGAAAGGGGCGGGAAAAGGGGCGGGAAAAGGGGCGGGAAAAGGGCGGGAAAAGGGGCGGGAAAAGGGGCGGGAAAAGGGGCGGAAAAGGGGCGGCAGGGGCTGAGGGGCTGCGAGGGGGCGGGCAGGGGCTGTGAGGGGCTGAGAGGGGCTGTGAGGGGGCGGGCAGGGGCTGTGAGGGGCTGAGAGGGGCTGTGAGGGGCGGGCAGGGACTGTGAGGGGCTGTGAGGGGGCTGTGAGGGGGCTGTGAGGGGGCTGTGAGGGGCTGTGAGGGGCTGTGAGGGGCGGAGAGGGGCTGTGAGAGGCTGAGAGGGGCTGTGAGGGGCGGGCAGGGGCTGTGAGGGGGCGGGCAGGGGCTGTGAGGGGGCGGGCAGGGGCTGTGAGGGGGCGGGCAGGGGCTGAGAGGGGCGGGCAGGGGCTGTGAGGGGGGCAGGGGCTGTGAGGGGCGGGCAGGGGCACCGGGGCCGGATAAGAACAGCATAAGAGGACTGTGAGGCGCTTGGTGTCTCGAAGCGCAGCTCCCGAGGAACCCGCGGTCCCGGGACCCCCGGCGGGCGCGGAACGCCCCAGTCCGGCACAGGCACCGCGGGTGCCCCGCTGGAAGGGCCGTGTGGCTCGACCGGCGCCGGGGATGGTTCCCTCCAGCTGTAAGAGCGGTGAAATCCAGGGAAAGCGCTGGGGAGTTTCGTGTAGAGCAGCAGGAGGGGGCGCGCCCGCATAAGGAAAAATCCCGAAAGGAAAAAGGAAAGGGGCTCTGGAACGGGACGTTTCCACGTTTAAGTTTTGAGTATCTGCTGTGTCCCGAAATAAGAAACTTGAAGCTGCCACCCTGACTGACAACATTTCAAAAAATACAGAATTAAAACTAGCTGACCAATCTTTGAATCGTTTTGTTCGGAATTCCAGTTCGTTCCCAGGTGTTTCGGTGTTCGTGGTCTCCACGGTGTCTCTCACATGTCCAGCAACTCAGTTGTTGAGAAAAATACCAAACACGGGAGGAGTGTGATTAAAATTAGAGCACTCGATAACTTTTTTCTCACCGCAAAAAATGTTGGTTGCTGTTTCGACAGGGAGAACAACAAGTGCATCCTGACCGTGGTTTCATCCTGCTGCTAGATCTGGTTGTGAACGCTTGTTAGAGGAGCCGACCCTTGTGCTAGGTTTAATTCCTCATTTGTTCTCTGTACCAGAGAGGTGTTTTATGAAGTGGGCAGGGTACATATTTACTGCTGTTTCATTGGGGCGGGTGAATATTGTGTTCTCATTTCATAGGTCAAGAAACCAAAGTAGAGCTCAAGAGTTTTTTTCCAAAGCTGAAATCCTGGCTAATGATCACTTAACTATGAGATTGGAAACCATTTATGAAGCTGAAGATAAGTTCAGGCACCTGAAGGTCAGATTTTCACTCCTTAAAAATTTGTTATCTGGGGGGGATTGTGTGGCAAATGACACTCTAGTTCTTGTTAGTGGAGTTAGTTATTTTGAACAGCACAGTCAAAGTGTAGTTTCTGTGCAGACTTTACTTCCATGGGATGCTTCTCTGCTTTTCCTTCCAACAGACCTGACAGGGGAGTGAGCTGCTGCACCGGCGTTACCACAAGGAAGTCCAAAATGTAAAACAAAACTCGGTGCTCAGCAATGATTAACTTCTCCTCCCACAGGCTGCTTGTCTGCGCATCATAAAATATGATTTTACCTCCGCAGACCTGTTGGGAGAGAAGAGGTTCGGAGCGCAGCTTTCAAACAGGGCGGCAGGCAGATGTTGCAGCTCCCAACCTGAAGAACAGGTTCTGCCGATGGGAAGGGAGCGAAACGTCTGCGCGGGATTGTTACCACCCCCCCGGTTCCTTTTGCCTCCTCCCACTTTGAACTTGTTACCCTGGAGCCGAACTGTTTGAACAGGGGCTGTAAAGCCGCTTTGTGCTCAGAGAGCCGGCAGCCCTCAGCTCTCTCGCTCCCCGCAGGTCCCTCCCGGGTTTGTCCCGGGATGAAGGTGCCGATGTCCCGCGCACGGGAGCCGGGACAGCCCGTCCGCGCTGTCCGCCCAGGAGAGACACAGGTGTGTGCTTGGGGTTCGCCTGCCTACTTTCCCTTTCAGCGAGCGTTTTGGTGTACTTTTAACACTTTTCCTCACTCTTGGGCCTTAGAAACAAAGTTTCTAAGAGGCTGCCGCAGCTTTGGGCTTGGACTTGTAAGAGTTTGCTACTACTTTTGCTTTTGTCTTTTTTTTTTTCTTTTTTTTTTTTTTAAGGAAGGGAGAGACTGGAAAGAGCATCATGTCTAATGCTTGTTTTATTTTGGTCCTTGGAAGTCTGTTAGTCCTAAGCTTTTAGACTCTCTGAGCTTGTAGGGATGAAGCAAACTTCATTTGTGATTTCAGTTCAGTCTCTTCTGACTGGAGAACTGCCTTTTCTGGTATGAGAGACCAGTGCACTCATTCTGAGGTGATAACTTGAGCCTTGAGCTTTCACGGGTGTGCCGAGCCAGAACGAAAACTGACTTGGATAGGAGAGGCTGGATGTGAAATAATCTGCAGGTATTTAAATGAAATACCAGTCAAGCAATATAATGTGGCTGATTCCGTGATGAAGAGCAAAGTCTTAACTTGGAAGGAAAGCCATGCACAACACTTCAAAAGAGTTTGCTTTTCTTTTTCTCCTGTTTTTCTTGTCATTCTTTGGGCTATGGAGAAATATTTTTTACGCCAGGAAAGAGCAGAAGATTCTGGTTTACAGTTGCAGAGATGTGGCAAACAGTAAGGATGGATGGATTGCCAGCACTGTGCCTCAGGCTCCAGAGCTTAGATGTAGGTCTGAGACATACCCCCAATCCTCAGGGTGATAATTTCTAGAGTCATGTTTTGGTTCATGACAGAGGTGGGTTAACTGCTAAAAAATAAACCAGAAGTGGAATACAATTCACTGCTCACTGCAGTTAGTTTGAGATAGGAAACTGATGCCATTTTCAGAATGCAGCTCAAAGTTAACTTGCTTCTTTACTGTTCAAAGAACGTGGTCAAAGTTTTGTCTACTAGGAGAGCTTTTTCTGTCCTTACTGAGGGGGAAAAGGCTTCAACTGGGGAGAATTGTCTTTTGCCCAGTAAGATTAGCTGTGGGGAACAGTTTGGTGCAAATGAAGGACAGGGCTGGTGAGGGAAGGTCGGTGAGGGCTGAGGAAATGCTGGTTTATCTGAATGCAGGCCAGGCTGTGCAGGGTTCCTGCCTTCTGATGATCTCAGTGCTGGGGTGAGGGACAGGCAGGAGTGTTCCCTGGCTCTGAGCTCCTCTGAGGACCGCTCCTTGGGACAGGCTCCTTGAAGGCACCGAGGCCATGATCAGGGACAGACACATCTGACACAGCAGAGCAGTTAAAGCCTTTTTATTGGTAAGTAAAATAGACTTTTCAAGGGAATGTCTTGCCTGCAAATTTTGGTGAAAACTATTAAATTCATGCCCTAGAGACCACTGCAAAATTTGTAGTCCTACCTGGCTTCTGGTTGCTTTTTGTTCTGGCCTTGTGAAAAATGATGATAATGTTCTAGTTCATGGCCAAGCTCCTTCTGCGTTATCTGAAAAGGCTTTTGTTTTCTTCTTATGTGGCATTCATCATTTCTGTAATTTAGCTGAATTAAAAGCTGCCCCATACTCACCCTAAAGTGTCCGAGAGCATCTTAGTGAATGGTGCTGCAGGAACAATAAAGCAATAAAAACTAGAGAGTGTAGGGATCTGTACTCACAATTTGAGAACACCACAATCTCACTTTGGTTTTGAAGTAAATTGCCCAGAGCCCTCAGTTCCTAAATATAGTTTGAAGGGGCCACTAGAGCTTGTTCTTGTTAATTGTCCAGAGCTGAGAAAATGGCTGTATAAATGGACTGGAGTGGGTAACAGGATGAGGCTGAAGAGATTTTTTTGGTAAAGACAGTCTCTCAGTTACTGAGGATCAGCTGAACTTCCTGCAACACAATTTCCACACACCCAGAAATCTCAGTTCTGCACTGGTTATCTCTAAAATGACCCACTTCTTCCTGTGATAAGCTTAGATTAATCTGATCTTACAATTGAAATAGATTCTGAAGGAAGAAAGAATCTTCTTTCCCTTGCTTCCATTGTCCTAAGCTTCTCTGGGAGCTCAGCCCTGTTCCCACTGATGCCCCCTGGCTCGCTGGATGTGACAAAGTCTCCCATCCCAGACTCTACATCTGCAGGGAATTTCCAAACCTCTTCTTCATTGTTTCATCTGCCTTCATTCCGAGGGGGTGGAGCACTTCCCCTCGTGCAGTGGGTGCACAGCAGAGTCATTGCACAGGTACCTGTGCAGTGCAGGCTGTGACAGATCTTTGCACAAGCTTAGGCAGAGTTCTGAGTTTCCTGCCTCCCGTTTCTCTGTGCCTCGCTGTCTGTGGGGCTGCTCATGAGGCTGAGGGACATTCTGGGTGCAGACAGCAGGGCAAGCATGACCTGAGTGAGGCTTGCAGGTCCATCTGCATCAGAAACACAGCATGGAAATTGAGAGGTTGATTTTCGTGGACCTGGTTCTGAGCTGGCCCCACAGTTTCTATTGTTTATCACAGCCTCACCTGGTTCCATTTAATTAGGGAATGGCTCCTGGAGACTCTTCTGACATCTTCAGAGTTGTCAGGGAGCTCTGGATTGCCTCGGAAACTCCAAGGAAAATGGGGTGGGAAGGTGAAGGAGCTTTCCATGCTAACATTCCTGGGAGAGACTGAAGTGCTGCAGAGCCTGAGCAGTTCCCATCCCCTGGGCTGTGTTTGCCAAGGGCCGTTATGCACCAACTTGCAGCACTGCTCTTTGTGTTGAATCCGGTGTTCAGAGACGGCTCTGCCCAGCTCTCCCTGCAGGACTACTTA